CATGCCCCAGCAGGTCACAGACCATCAGTGCCCTGGTGAGCCTGGAAGGATTTGACCAGAGCGATTTATGCAGTGACCGGGTTGGAGCCACGGACCGGGACACGGCCTTGTAGTGGTTGCATCTGCTCACACAACTTAGGGGGTCAGCATGGGCCCTGGTGAGGGCTGGAGCCCCTTTGGGAATTGGAGCTCATAGGGGTGAGATCAGATAGGCAGGGAGGGGCTGCCAAGCTGAGGAGAGAAGCCAAGGGTGTTATATCTTTCAAGACACAGACACCCTAAGACCAGAGTTCCAGCCTCGAGCCTCAGAGGCCAAGCTGAACCAGCCCTCTGCCCCATCCTGGCACAGGAAACACCGACCCCCCCATCCAGCCCTGTAGTTCTAAAGGGGGGTGACCAATACCTGTGGCTGCTTGGGGTTGGGCTGCCCGCTTACTTCCCCTGAGAGATAGATTTGTTGCCTTTAGGGATGAACTTCAGGGACTGCTGAATATTCAGAAGCGGGACTGCCCCGCTTGGGGCCATCATTGAGAAGCCCGTGGCTGCATTTACTGCAGAACACCTTAAAGGCATCAGGGTGATTGCGCTCGGGCCACTTGGCCGCCACGCTATCATCGTGGATGGTCCCAGTGAAGGCTGGCCACAGCACTGAGTGCTCGTACTTGGAGCGGCTGGAGAACAGCTCGTAGCCGCACTTGGCAAACACGTAGACAGCAGGTTCAAAGTGATTCTGGAAAACCTTGCCCCCGGAGAAGCTCAGAAAAACAGTGCTACCAGGTTCCTGTCCTGCTCTCACACTCCGACAGCTCCCAGTGCACTGACCCCACCGCACATATCTTATTTTGAAGTTAAAAACCAAAACGGGCAAAAACAACTGGCGGGCCGGATAAATGTCCTCGGTGGGCTGCATGTGGCCCTCGGGCCATAGTTTGAGGACCCCTGCCCCACAGCGATGAGTTTTGAGAGGGGTTAGGGAGTAGCTCTGCCTCAGCAGAGGTGGGACTGCAGAGCACCCCCAGGGCCCAGTCCTGCCAGGTGCTGAGCCGGGTGCAGCAGCAGAGAGAGCACGGGGTCTAAGCAGCAGGTATGTGGCGGCAGCGTGTGAGCTGTGAGTGCACTGGGCCTGGCAGTGCCAAAGACTACACAGGCCGACGGGTCAGGTTACAGTTGCTGTGGGAACTGTGACCTTTGAATTTCCTGGCTTATGCATGGAATTTCGGTTGCATAATACTATAACAACTTGGATTCCCCCCACCCTACCTCCTTCGCTTCCCTACTTTTGCATGTGGCTTTTCTGCCCCACTGAGTGGGATCTGTAGCACTCAGCTCCTCCTCCTCTTGTTTTCCTGGTCCTGTCTCCCACCAGTGTGTCCGCTAGGGGACCAGCCTGGGATGTTTCTAGGGTGGCCCACTCTTTCTGCCAAACCTACCCTGATGCCTGAAGCAGTCTTCCCAACTGCTGGCTTAGCTGAATTCTCCCCAGTCGTCAGTCCCTACTTGGGGTCTCACTCTCTCTAGGAAACCTGCCACCACCCCCTACGTCTGAAAATTTCCCCCTTCCGGGGAATTGTGTGCCCTGGACACTTCATTTGGCGTTTCATCCGATGCTGCCTGCGGGGTGGGGGGTGGGTTGGGGCTGGGGGTTTGGGGCTGGGGTAGGGCATTCTGATTTCATTTTTCAACCAACCAGATGGTAAGATTGTTGATCAGGATTTGAAATCGTTGCCTTCTTTGTTCAACAGTCATTGATTCGTGTTTGATTTACTCAGTTAAGCCTACATTTTCTTAGTGCCTTTGCAATGAGGGCAGGCTGAGGATTATGGAAAGCCACCAAACCCAACCCATTACTGTTGCGTTGATTCCGACTCATAGCAGCCTTATTGGGCAGTCACTCTGCTCCCTCGGGTTTCCGAGACTAAATCTGTGCAAGACCAGACAGCCTCCTCTTTCTCCCAAGGAGCAGCTTACTGGGTGGGTTCAAACCACGAGCAGACCGTGTGGTGAGCAGCCCGACGCTGTCACCAACCGTGCCGGGAGGGGATTAGGAAGGGTGTAGAAAAAGACCAGTCTTTCTATCTGAATTTTTACGATGCTTATCCTGGCCTGCATGACACAGCACCTCCTACCCACCGTCCTCTTCTCCCTTGCCCAGTGAACTCGCCCCACTGGCACTTGATTCCTGGGTGACCCCCTTACTCCTTTCTCCAGGTGGCATGTTCTTCTTCCCCTGAGACCCCCAATACCCAATGCACTGTTGAGTCGATTCGGACTCTTGGGGACCCATTTGGGTTTTTAAGGCTCTTTCAGAAGCAGACCATCAGGCTTGGTGTCTGACATGTCGGGGTCACACACTGGGCTCCTAACCACAAGGTCAGCCACTGTGGGTGGGGCTTTCCACTCCCTACAGAGTTACGTCTCAGGAACCCCCAGGGCAGCCCTACCCTACCCCATAGGGTCTGTTTGAGTTGGAAATGACTCGATAGCAATGGGGTTTGAGTCTTCCAATGTAGCTCTGGGTGGGTTCAAACCAACCTTTCAGTCAGTTGCTGAGTGTTTAACTGTTCACCTGCCAGGGACTCCTTTCTGCCCCTGGAACTTTCTCCCACCTCAGGCAGGCAGGAGAGCACTGCATCACTGAGGCCTTGCCTAGCCATAGCCCTGTGAGTCCCTGCCCCCCACTCTTACATCCTGCCCCCCACTCTCACCCTCAGCTCATGAGTATGAACTGACTTGCCTGCTATGTGTTGATGTTTTTATACTGTGACCGAGTCCACCAATACAGGCCTAGAAACCATAAGGGTTCACATTCCGTGGAGGGCGTTGGGGGCAGCACAGTGCCTGGGACCTAGTAGGCTCAGAGTAAATGCTAAATGCGTGACGTCGGCAGAAAGTGACCACCAGCAGGTTCTGCTCCAGTGGAACCGTCCGTCACTGTAGACAACAGCGGAAACTTTTGATCTAGGCAAAACACATGAGCTTTTTTTTTAAACCTTTCCCCTTCGCTTTTCTTTCTTTCGTCCTCCCCGACTCCTTTATTCCTTGTGGGCTTCTACAGACGTGCTGCACTGAGAGGAGGCTGACGCAGGGCTGTTCTTTTCTGTGGCCTTCTAGACATTTTCAGGCCTTTGGAATACTCACTTTCCCTCAAACTCCCAGAATCGTTTTTCAGAAAGCAGCCTAGGCTAAACCAGTGGGGAGAAGCCAGCCCAAAGTCCATTTCACCCGGGGCCAGTGGGCTGCCCCTGGGCCCATCACTATGGGGGCGTGGCCCCATCTTTAAGGGGGGCTTTGTACCCCCACCTCCCTCGTGTCCCTGGGGGTGCCATCTGTGCCTGAACGGCCTCTGAAGGCATGTCTGTGAAAGCGCAGGGAAGCAAGGGGCTCTGTAAACTCAGTGTGATTATTAATCAGACTTTCCTCTGGGCCACTTCTTTGCCCAGAGTTTGCCTTCTGCCGCCGCCGCTGCTCAGGCTGCCGGGATGAACGTCCGGAATGTAACCGGACCGTCTCTCCCAGCCCCCTCCCGGCCCAGTGGCACAGACTGCAGATAAACAGAACTTGCTTGCTGGGGGGTGGGCGGACTGTCCTCCTGTGGGGCGAGGCAGACAGCAGGGGTGGTGGCCGCCTCTGAGGGAAGGCGTTGTCACAGAGTCCCCTGCTTTCACTTGGGGGTCTGAGTGCTCGACCCTTCATCCCACTCGGCATTCCCAGCCACTTGTGGCCCCCACCTGTCC